CCCCCCGCCCGCCCTCCGCTCGGCCCGGCGGCCCCCGGGCCCCGCGCCGCCTCGGGCTTTGCAGCGCTCCGCTCAGCGCGCTCCCCTCTCTCTGAGCGCCCGCCGGGTGCCAGCACCTCCCCAGCAAGTCTCCTGCTCTCGCGACCCCTTGCTCCCCTTCGCGTCTCCCCTATTTCTCCCACGCCCCTTTAACCTTGTCATCTCTCCCCTCCCAGATGGCTTCCCGCGTCCTCCCCTTTCCACTGATTTTATTTTTCTGTTCCCAAACCACCGTCTCGTGATGCCTTCGTGCCTTGCAGAACCTGAACCAGAGGCGGGACATCTCCTCCTGGCTGGTTAGTAGTACCCCAGCCTCCCCTCCTCCCCACACAGGTCCCCCAGGCCCAGAGACCTCAAACACGAGACCAAGGAGTGGAACCAGGAAGGGCACAGCCCTACTCCCCAGACTCCAGCTTCCCAACGCCTCGCCCCGTTACCCGATGGCTCTAGGGGAGGTGGGGTGGACCAGAGGGCACAGGGCAAGTAGCCAAGCTTCTGCGCTGAGGACAGCACTGCCTGACAAAGCAAGCCCCAGGTGTAGGTGGCCCTGCCTTAGGCTGGCAGGATCCTCTCTCACCCTCCCTATCACCCAGGTGGGAGCCCGGGTTTGAGGGAAGGCAGCTGGACCGAATGTCCTTGCTGGGTGGTGTCAGCATACTGTAGAGCCTACCACACACCCGGCCAGTGGAAAACTGACAAGGCCATAGGCAGGAAAGTGCTTCCAGGGCTTGGGCTGACCCCAGGCCCCTCATCTTCCCTGGCCACAGGCCCGCTGGTTCCGTAAAGCCCCAGCCAAATCCGTGGTGGCCCTGAAAATGCCCATCAAGGTGGAGGTGGTGGCTGGGAAAACCTACAGGTGGTGTGTGTGTGGCCGCAGCAAGAAGCAGGTGAGAGACCTCTACCCCTCTTCACATTGACATATGACACCTCTGGTTGGGGACAGCATGGTGTCTCCTGGGAGTTCCCATCCAAGATGTTCCTCTTCTTCCCACACATGCCTAGGAGATAGCAAGGGGCTTGGGGGTTGAGAGAACACTCACAGGCCAGTGTCACCAGCCTTGAGCTCACTTGTCCTCATCTGCTCCTTGGAATGAAGCCAGAAAGAAACTCAGGGGCTGGCCAGTTAGCTCAGTTGATTAGAGCATGATGTTGATACACCAAGATCTAAGGGTTCAGATCCCTGTACTGGCCAGCCACCAAAAACCAAAATAAATCAAAACAAAAGAAAGACAGAAAGTCACACGGCCAGCCTGGGGAGCCCAGGTTTCTGGACTTCTCTTCTGCTGCACCCTCCCTCAAGTAGGCATATTCCTGGGCTCCCAGCACCTAGACACTGAAAGCTTGCCTGTCTTTCCCTCTCTCCTTCCACCTTCCAGGAAACATCTGGGCCAGAGGTCCCCAGGTCTTGGACCTCAACATTGGGAAGCTTCTGCTCAGGCTCATTTCCCCAAAGCTTCCCAGTCTTCCCCTGATCTCCTCCTCCCCTGTCGCCTTCTCAGTTGATGTGCCTTTCCTGGCTGCACGCCACTGACTGCTGTGAGCCTCGCTGCCTGCTCCAACCCCTTCTCCCTGCTGCTCCAGGAGCCTTTCATCCCAGCAGGAATCTTGGACCCCCCCCCACCACCACCGTTTCCTTCCTGAGCAGAGCCCTGAACTGTGTTCTTCCAAGCCATGTGGCATGGTGTCACAGTCCAGGATCCTGAGTTCCACTTTGCCATGGATTTGCTGTGGACTTTGAGCAGGTTCTCATGAGGCTGGAGCGGTGCCAAGGGCGTGCCAGCCAGAGGAGGGTGGCCATGGGGGTGTGAGGGTGCATGCCTCCACATCTGGCTCCCTGGGACAGCTGGCTGATTGCTATTTGCACACTTCTTGTCTCTCCTCCTATCCCACCCTCACTCCAAGGACAAGAGGCCTGGGCCCCAGCTCGGCCACTAACTAGCAAGGCATGTCACCTCTCAGTTTCCACTCCCTGGTCTCTGCTGGAACAGCTTCTGGGCTGGACAGGGAGTGCGCTCCTGCGTCAGGCAGCCAGTTGGCTATGGGACATCCCCCTCCCTGTAACATCCACTCTTTAACACGCCCAGGTGTTGCCTGGAGCCAAACAGAATTGCTACCACAGTGTTAAGGCAATGAAGGAAACGAATTTCAGGAGCTGATGGAGGCTCAGAGCCATTAAAACAAACAGAAAACTGCTAGTGTAAACATTGCGGATACCTGAGGTCTCATTTCCCCTTGAAAATTCTGTCCTTGTGTCCTGGCCCTCTGGGTCCCCCAGAGACTCATTGAATACTTACTATGGACAAAGTGCATAATGACCATTATTTTATTTCCTCGTGATAACGCTACTCTTATTACCCCCCTTGAAAATTCTGTCCTTGTGTCCTGGCCCTCTGGGTCCCCCAGAGACTCATTGAATACTTACTGTGGACAAAGTGCATAATGACCATTATTTTATTTCCTCGTGATAACGCTACTCTTATTACCCCCCTGTTACAGATGAGAGAGGTAAACTAGTGAAGCCAGGCAGTGCTTACTCCAGAGCCTGAGCCCTAACCATTGTACTCTGCTCCCCTGAGCCCCAGGTGGGGGGCAGGGAGGGGGGAATCAGGTCTTTTTTTTTAAGATGACCGGTAAGGGGATCTTAACCCTTGACTTGGTGTTGTCAGCACCACGCTCAGCCAGTGAGCTAACCGGCCATCCCTATATAGGATCCGAACCCGTGGCCTTGGTGTTATCAGCACCGCACTCTCCCGAGTGAGCCACGGACCGGCCTGGGAATCAGGTCTTTGACTCCTCTCTTTCCCGCACCAGCCCTTCTGTGACGGCTCCCACTTCTTCCAACGCACTGGCCTATCTCCACTCAAGTTCAAGGCCCAGGAGACCCGCATAGTGGCCCTCTGTACCTGCAAGGCCACCCAGAGGCCCCCATACTGCGATGGCACCCACAGGAGTGAGAGGGTGCAGAAGGCAGAAGTAGGCTCCCCACTTTGAGCAGTGGCTGCTGCCCAGCCCCAGGTGGCCTCTGCTCCAGGCCTCTCTGACAGGCACCCACTTTGTTGGGAAGGAAACTGAGTGCTGAGCCCAAGAAGGGATCATCTGGAGAACCCAGTATCCACAGCTGGCTGGTGGAAGAATCGCTCCTTATAACCTGAAGTCTCCAGTCGGGCAGCCAGGAGTGGGCTCCTGGTTCATCTGCTGATGGAGAAGATGGCATTAAACAAACATGCCCACCCAGACTGGTGTTCTTGTGGTCACTGGTGTGAGGCACACAAACTACTTCCTGCTCCGGTTTTTAATCTGTGCGTGGATGAAGACAACTGACTGGCCACAGGGAGAAGGTAGTTCAGATTTATTCCATATAGAACTCAAGGTAGGCTGAGCCCAGAGACAAGAGGCAAGATGGGGCTACGGGACCCACCCACCCTCTCCCCCTTCCCTCGACCCCAAAGAACTACAGGCTCCGGAGAGTATGCATCATTTATTACAAAGCCAAGAGATACAAATGTCCTGGAGCAGGAGGAGGGTACAATCACAGGACCTCAGACACAGAACAAGGTGCAAACACAGAGAAACCCATTGGGGCTCCCAACCCCACACACCGAGGTTGTGATAAAGTCTTGCCTCCTCCCCCCCCCTCCCAGATCTATGTACATTTGAGGAACACAAGGTGGGCAGGGATCTGCTGGGGTCTGCCCCCATTGGGGCTCCCAACCCCACACACCGAGGTTGTGATAAAGTCTTGCCTCCTCCCCCCCCTCCCAGATCTATGTACATTTGAGGAACACAAGGTGGGCAGGGATCTGCTGGGGTCTGCTCCCAAAGAGGTGGTCCGTTGCCCTCTCAGGGGGTGGAATTGGGGGTAAGAGCTCCCAGGTGTCTGTTTTGTGCTTTTAGATGCCTCAGTTGCTCTGTCCTGACTCAGCATCAGCTGGGAGTGTGGTGGGGACCAGAGGGCTGTTTGCCTTTGGCAAAATGTGGGGTCTGTGCTTGTCTGAGGTTAACCCCACCCCATTCCCCACTCTAGGCCCAGAGTGAGACTTCACCACCAGACTTGCTAGTGAGAGTTCCTGGATGAGGGTATGGGGCAGGAGGGGTGAAGCGGTTCACAATGTGAAAGCCACAGTAGAATTCCAAGGGCTGAGGCCACCTGTGGCCTGAATCTTCTCTTCCACAAGATAAATGATGCAAAGGCCACACACACAGGAAAAAAGAAAAGAAAAAGAGAGGCAGAACTATCTATTCTTTGCACAAAGTTTCCACTGCAAGAGGAGGAGATGAGGGGGTGCCGTCTCCACCGCCCACTTGCTCCCCAGAACCGGGATAAACTGCATTTGTAAAAGGCACTGTCTTAGCAATTCTCTGGACATTCAACAGTGGGGGCGGGGGGCACTGGTCAGGGCAGGACAGCAGCCAAGATGGGCAGAGAAACAAGGTGACCCCTATACGCAGCCAGTTAGAGTTGTGCCTAAAGCTTTGGGGGCTGGTAGGGCCCCCCCAACACCCTATCTGCCTTGGGAAACGGAGGATGGGGCAGAGCTTTACCCAGCCTCCAGTGGTCCCTCCAGTCCACCTCCAGGCACCCCCAGAAAGAGCAGAGTGAATTACACAAGACCCTCTAAAACTCAATACCCCATCCCCCACACATACACACACACATAGAATGTTTCCTGTGGCATTTAAATTAATCTGGTTGGTCCATAGAAAATAAGTATGTATATTTGGTTTTTCCTATGTACATATATATATAGATTTATTTATAAAACCCGCCCCCCACCCCTAAGGTGGGAGGAGCTGGGAAAAGTAGAAGAGGTGGAAAAAGGGCCCAGAAAAAGTAAAGGGAGTGGAGAGGCCGGGCTGGAACAGGGAGGGAGAGGGTCCCTTTCCTCAAGTTAAGGGGGGCACGGGAGCTCCGTTGACAGTCATCTTGCGCCCCCTGCTGGTGGATGATGGCGTCTGCAGGCAGTTCGAGGCGCCCCCGTTGGCCGCTGTGGTGGCCCCACTGGCTGTTGAAGGGGGAGTGGGGGAGGTAGGGTGGGTGGCTGGGGGGCCGTGGGAGCTGGGAGAACCATGGGAGGGGGTGGCTGGGCTAGGCAGGGAGGAGGAGGTGGCCGGCAGGGTGGCAGGGCTGGGAGCCTTGTCGCTGACCGACTCACACTCTGAGGCCCCGCTGGTGTTGGTGCCCTCGGAGGGAGTGGGCACTGTGGGCAGGGTGAGCCGCTTGCAGGCCGGCTGGACGCGGTACTTGAGGGGGAGAGGGCCGTTCTGCGGCAAGAGGCAGGGGAGGGGAGGGTGTCAGGAGAAATAACCAGGTAGCCACCCAGCTCCACCCCACGAAGCCCAAACAAGGAAAGAGGGAAGCTATGGGGCCCTGGAGTGGAGGAGATGACAGGGACACAGGGACACACCAAAACCCAGAGAGGAATAAAATCTAAGACCAGAGATTTGGGGAGAAAAACAGAGGAGACAGGGAAGCAAAAATGCAGACAGCAACATTTCTCCTCCAAAGCCACCACAACCTAGTTCTAACCCCAGTCCGGGCACATAATCTGCCAAAGGAGCTCTTTCTCCTGAGTGTGGCAGGTCATCAGCAAAAGATGGCTTCGAGGTTACCTGGTGTGGTGGGCCACCCTGGACATGCCCAGCTCGTGGGACAAGGGATAGGCTGGCTGTGTTTAGAAGGTGGCCCACGTGGTCACTGTGGCTACAGCCAATGCCAGACCCTGCAGGGGTCTGCTCCCTGCCTGCCTCTGCCTGCCTCTGCCTGCCACCGCCTGCACCTCCCGCCTGGCTCACCCGCCGCCAGGGGTAGATGTAGGCGATATCCATGAGGGTGTAGTATTCTTTCAGCGGCTCGTCCTCATAAAGAACCTCCACCTGTGGGGGGAAGGGGACGACACCATGACCCTGGCCAGGCTCAGGTGCTGGCTGTTTGGCAAAGAGGCTCCAGGCTGGGAGTCTCGGGGGCAATGGGAAAGGTGGATTTGCAGGTGGTCCCTCATTACTCTGGGGTTTCACTGTGGATTTGATTTTGCCTATCGGAGTTGTCCCAACATAGCTTCTGACTACCAAGTAGGGAGGGATCCGGAGATACCCCCACTGTTAACAACCCTGCCCCCAGCTTTCCACAGTTGTCTGGGTCCCCTTGTATTCTGGCAGGCCTCCCAGAGGAGGATCTCCGGGAGCACGGCCTCCCACCCCTGGCTGCACAGTGGACTCACCCAACCATGCTTGCATCTCGCCCCCCGAGATTCTGATTTAACTGTTAAGACGTGAGGTGACTCAAATTCTTTTTTTTTTTTTTCCGTGTCCGGCAACGGATCGCAACCCTCAGTGTCGCGCCTGTACCGGACCGGGACCGGCAACGGGATCGCAACCCTCGGTGTTGCGCCCGCACCTCGCTCAGCCAGTGAGCGGGAACCGGTCTGTATGTGGGATCCGAACCCTCAGCGGGAACGCCACCGCGCTCCCAAGCGGCGCACTGTAGCAGTGCGCCACCGGGCCGGCCCGAGGTGACTCAAATTCTAACACACAACCAAGTTTAGGATCCACTGTCCTAGGGCCTTGCTACTCAAAGTGTGGTCCTCAGATCTTCAATATTGGCAACACCTAGGAGCTTGTAAGCAATGCAGAATCTACTGAATCAGAATTTGCATTTTGGGCTGGCCAGGGAGCTCAGTCAATTAGAGCATGGTGCTGATGGAATTGCTGATAACACGGAGGTCCAGGGTTTGATCCCTGTACCAGCCAGTGGCCAAAAATTAAAAAAAAAAAAAAAGAAAAGAATCTGCATTTTTAACAAGATCTCCAGGGGATCGTATACACGTTCAAGTTTGAAAAGCGATGTCCTAGAGCTCCTTAGGAATTTCACATTGGCATTCCCACAGCCAGCTGGCCCCCCAGACAAGGCCTTCTATTTTTGCACGCACCCAGCTCTGCCACAATTCTGAGCATGCATGTACACACACACTCCATCTTGGTCCCAGGCACCCACACTGACTTCAACAGATGTAGATTGCTGCACTCTAATCTTGGTCTCAACAACCCTTCTACACAGGCTCAGTTACACAACCATGCAAGCTCTGGGTGACATCTAGCCAGCCCTGGACAACGGCTGGGGTGCACAGATTGTCAGAGACTCCCCCCACACTCATTTTATGAAAGGGCTCAGTGACTCACTTTGTACTTGCTGGGCACATCCATCTTGTTGCGGAGAAACTTGGCGAGATGCATGACAGTCATGGCTGCTGGGCATCGCAGGAAGCGCACCCCCGTCTGCTGTGGGAGAGGCACCCCTGTGTGCTGGGGGAGAGGCACCCAGGCCACTCTCTCCCAGCCCACATCCTGCTCCTGGGCAGGCCTCAGCACTCACCTTCTCCTTATCCCCATCCCCATTCTCCAGGGAGCCCTTCTTCTCCTCCCGGTCCCTGGGAGAAAGAACGAAGCTAGCAGAGACCCTGGAGCAGGCAGGATCCCCGGTGCACTCATCCTGAGGGCCCTTCCAGGGGAAAGGGGCCATAGTGGGAGAAGTGGGCAGCCCAGACTTGCCTGACACTTTCATAGAACTCGATGGAGAGGCTGACAATCTCGTCATCGCTCAGAGCCCCCTTCTCCTGCTCCAGGACCTCGCCACGGTCCTCGTTGGAGCCATTAGGGACTGTGGAGGGAGAAAGCTTGAGGGGTTGGCCGACGATGGGGGAAGGGAACTCCACCGAGGTCCCAGCCATCCTCTGGGCTGGCGGTCTCTGGCAGGGAGACGGCATGCTGGAGTATGGAGGGTGAGTGGAGGATGGGCGGCCCAGCACACCCAGCCCTCGTGGCTGGGGACAGCACCACACGCGTGAAGACACATGAGAACACTCACCCTCTGTCACGGGGTACGCTGCATAGAAATCTCGCCGCCGTTTCATCTCATCTGGAAGAAGGACGCAGGTGAGAGAGAGGAGCAGGCTGGGAAATAGGGGCGGTGGGCAGAAGGGGGAAGGCATGCAAATACCTTTAAAAAGCCCAGGGACCAATTTGTAGACAATGTCTTGAAGGGTTTTGTCAGATCTGGGAAAAAAATGTACAGGGCCCTGTCAGCAGGCTCCAGTCAGCAGCCTTCCCAACCAGGGACCCCTCTTCCCACCCCCTTCGACCAATCACCCAGACATTGGGGTCCCTGTAGGTCTGGTCTTTACCCCTCTAGTAATCTCAGCCTATGACAAGCTGGACGCAAAGCAGAGAGAGGGGAGGGCCT